GGGATGACACTGGTCATTTTCCGCCTCTCGTTTTGCAGTTCCCATGAGATCCAGCATTTTTTTTGTGACACACCGCCAGTGTTAAGCCTTGCCTGTGGGGATACAGGACTGAGTGAGCTGGGGATCCTCATCCTCAGTCTGCTGGTCCTCTTGGTCTCCTTCTTCTTCATCACCATCTCCTATGCCTACATCCTGGTGGCCATCCTGAGGATGCCCTCTGCTGAGGGGAGGAAGAAGGCTTTCTCCACCTGTGCCTCGCATCTCACAGTCGTCATTATCCACTATGGCTGTGCTTCTTTCATGTACCTGAGGCCCAAAGCCAGCTACTCTCTGGAGCGGGATCAGCTTATTGCTGTCACTTACACTGTAGCAACCCCGCTGCTCAATCCCATCGTTTACAGTCTAAGGAATCGGGCTGTGCAGACAGCTCTGAGAAATGCTTTCCGGGGGAACTTATTGGGAAAAGGATGAAGGCAAGTCCAAAGAGTCATTCTTCTCTGTGTCACAGACCAGACAGACCCAGTCCAGTGGGCCAGGAATTCCAGGTGTCAGGCCCCAACTGTCCTGGCCACGGCCCCCGGGACCACCTCAGCCTGAGGGGCCCTTCCTCCCAAGTTGCTTGAGAATGCAGAGACAGACAGGACTTCCTATTTTGGTAAGTGTGAGCTCAAAAAATCTGAATTTTTACATTAATCTTCACAGATATCACCCCTAGTTACTGAAGCCCATTAAGAAATAGAGTTTTCTTAATGCGTGAAGATCACTGTTAATTTTCCAACTCAGCTGAACAGAATGAGGAAGTTTGGAGCATTCAAGGAAGAACAGGTGGGAGTTTTTATCAGGGACACTTAGAAGATTCAAAAATATTTAGACCCTTTGAGTTGTAATGTTCTTTGAAGATCTGAAATTCGGTGAATAGAAGTTTGGCAGATTAGCTTGATACCTTGAAAAATGGAAATACAGGTTCTCTTTGTCTTCCACTAGGTGTCTTTTATCATTTACATAACTTAGATCTTAAACTATCTCATTATTTTACTTTCCCCATTTTAAGCTAAGCTGGATAGATTCTATTTCAGAAAATCTAATTTTCCTATCTTCCTTGATAATTACTGGTGCTCTCTTGTATCAAGAACTCTGGGGTCATTACCTAATATGGGTGTTATCTTTTTGAATCTGCTCTACCTATGGCACTTTCTACCTACATTGTTTCCTATGTGGTTCCAGGAACTATTAGGAATGAGCAAAAGTGTAGTGAATTCCCACAGCTCTTAGGTAGGAGTTCAAACATAAGCTTTTGCACTAACAATCTGAGCAACCCTAGATATTTTGCTTAACCTTTGTCAGCTTCAAAGCCTTCATCTGTGAAATGTTTTTAGCCTGAAAGTTTGTGTTCTCAAAGAAAAAGCATCATTCATATAAATAACTTAGCGTAATACTTGGGTCAATCTCATCTTTTACTAACAATATGTTATGAAAAATGATGCTGGCTTTTACTTTGGTAAGGGTTACTCCAGGGTGAGAATCAAAGAAGGCTCCATGCCAAAGGTAGTACTTGAACTTGCCCTAAAGGATGGATCTTGACTGGTGACAGAGGAAGTACAGAACAATCAGATTCTAGATGGTAATAGAATATATGAATTTTACAAAGGGGCTGAAAAGGCTCAAAATGCTTCTGAGAAAGTTGCTTGGGTTGAGATTACTTTTTTTTGCAGGGTATGGGTGACAGTTGAAAACCTTGTTTCAGACAGATCATTTTGAGGAGACAGGACACAGTAAAGCTTTGAGCAGAGAGTAGAACAGCGTCCGTGAAGTGACTGAACAAGATTAACCTTAGTAGAACGGAGGCTGATGGATTTCAGCAGGGAGAAACCAGAGGTAAGAGGATAAATAAGACATCCATTGTCATCTTCTTAAAGAGAGGCAGAGGCTTAAGTATAGAGAAAAGAATAAGCTAGAGAAAAGTAAGCAAATTCAAGTCAGATGGCAGAACGGGTCCGGGTCGGAGGAAGAAGGTCATCTTAGGCTGCCACCCCTCCCCCCCCCCATTGCACTGGGGCTGTTTCAGCAAGTTCATTTCCATGGCCTATTCAGACCACGCAGCATAACAGGCCACGGATACACCCTGACTAATGGTAGACTAAGGTTGTTCCAAGAATTATTAAGTAATATTCAAATATCTATTTACTACCAAATGCAGCAATTTTAAGTAAGGAAGGGTTAAAAAACCACTTGGGGGATTTTAAAAATAGATATTCATAGGTTTTATCCCTTCAGATCTTGACATCATTGATTGGAGATAGAGATAGCAGAAATAAATCTACAAAATCTCCCCAAATGATTCAAATTTCATATGCTAGGTAAGGATTTGACCATATGTTTGAAAGGGCAAGCTCTTTCTCTCTCTCTCTCTCTCTCTCACACACACACACACACACACAGAATTATGTCTTGCTTTCCACTTCCACATATTGCAATTCAAGTCCTGTTGCAGCTTTCTCCAAGGCAGTCACCTCTGAGTAGCAGCCCAGTGGAGACAGGACTTGCTGAGTTTTTTGGGTTTTTTTTTTGGGGGGGGTGTCTGATCATGGGGCCTGAACTCTGGGCCTGGGCGCTGTCCCTCAGCTCTTCAGCTCAAGGCTAGCACTCTACCACTTGAGCCACAGTGCCACTGCCAGCTTTTTTTTTTTTTCTGCTTATGTGGTGTTGAGGAATGGAACCCAGGGCCTCATGCATGCAAGGCAAGCGCTCTACTACTGAGCCACCTACCCAGCCCAGGACTTGCTGAGTTTTAAGCATAGTCTTGTCACCTTGTTTTTAAAAAATACTTTATGACCCCCATTGCAAAAATGGAATGATAATAATCTCTCTTTGATAGAGCTTTTTTGATGAAGATTATTATAATGCCCTTAGAAAAAAGTCAGTTACACATTAAGTGCACAATGCTATTTTTATTTGGTGCTTCTAGAAAATATCACTTTAGGATGCCAAATCATTTTGCTAATTGATTCTAGCAACGTCCAGCATCTTGTATTTCATGAGGCAGAGGGATCAGTAAGTATCATATGCCATCACTCTGGCATTGTGTCTGACTGGATCTACATCCCAGAGACTTGGGAGGATAAAATGCTGGAAGTAAGTCCAGTTGTATATAGGCAGAACATGGAAACAAGAAAAGGAGATGAAAGGTACCAGAGAGTTTCACAGATGTTAACGAGAAGTGCTCTACTAGAAATGAAATAACTTTGAAAGCCAACGAAGCAGTAGGAATCAAGAAAGAAAAAAAAAACCAAGGATGCAGCCATAGTCTGAGGCTCAGGGACAGACGCTAATATGTAAGTTATAAAGGAGACCATTAGCAAAGTGAAGGCAAGGAGTACTGCATGAAGTCAGTAGTGAGAAGGTCAGGAAAAGATGAGTATTCATTGGAAGGAAATTACCTCTGAGATCAAGAAGGATATTTGATACAAATTCTAGTTGTTATGATACTAAACTATTTATAGCTTCTAGTTTATGTAATTGGTTCCAATGTTCCTTTTTTTCCTTTTTGCTTGAGTGTAGTATGTAGATCAGAGTCTGAATCTGAGCTGTATGAAGCTGATAGTTAAGAGCTTCTTATGGCATTCTTCTTATTGCTTTTTTAGATAATCATTGCAGTTCCTGGCGGTATTATTCAATCCCTTTTGTAATTGTTCTTTGCCTTAGAGAACACATTTTACTGACCACATTCCTCATAATCTGATTTTAGCCTAAAAACCCTTGGCAAGCTTGGAACAGGGACTGCAACCATCCTCTCTTTTCTTTCTTTTTTTTTCTTTTTCTTTCTTTCTTTTTTTTTTTGTCGGTTGTGGGGCTTGAAATCTGGGCTTGGGCACTGTCCCTGCACTCTTCAGCTCAAGAAGAGTGCTTTACCACTTGAGCCATAGCGCCACTTCCGGTTTTCTAGTGGTTTATTGGAGATGAGTCTCATGCACTTTCCTGCACCGGCTGGCTTTGAACTGTGATCCTCAGATCTCAGCCTCCTGAGTAGCTAGGATTACAGGCATGAGCCATCAGTGCCTGGCCTCTCTTTTCTTTGATATTCTCAACATGCAAAGTTTTAGAAAGTCCATACTTGGTAATTGTGATATTAGATGATATTGATTCTCCATGGCCTATTTGACTATATTGTTGGCAATTGTAAAATTTCTGATGACTTGTAATCATGTATATTTAAAAACTTGTCATTAATTTTCAAAGTTTTTTCTTGATTGTTAGATGTCATTGTATTTGGTTCCTCTTATATAAACCAATAAAATAGTTAAATGTTATTATGGGTAAAATTTTTTTAGTTGGAAATAAGTTTTTTTTCAAGTGACTCCTGTGACAAGATTTTTTCCTAGAAAAATCTCCCCTAAAAAAGGATTAATCACTACAAGAGGAAAGAATTGACTTTTAAGATGGTTGTCCAGGGGCAGTATTCATTGGGAGATAAAGGCTGTGTGTGCAGGATACTAGCAGTTTTACACAAGGCAAAAACAAACATACCAAGACAGCAACAAAAAAGCCCCAAGAATTCTCACCAGCAAATTACACCAGTAACTTGTATAAATCAGATCCAAATGCTGGTATTTGAACCTACTCATACCAAATCTCTCCTGAAGATTCCTGGATTCAGTTCCATCTCCTGTTTTTTTTTTCCCCTTAGTTAATCATTTTTTAAAACATTTCTACTGAGCCTTACTGTAACAGGATATGGAAACAAATAGACACAGATGTTATTTTTATCACATTGAAATAAAGAGTGAACTCAGGGGGTTGGAAGACAAGATGGAGGAATCCTGTCATGCTGCAATTTTGTCATTCTGAGAGTAATGACATCAACTCTAATGGCACAGAATGGAAAGGGACCAAATTAAGAAAAAAACAGGTGTTTAGCTTCATTTCACAAACAAAAATATCCTAGATTCCTGGTATCAAATATACTACTTTTAAACTATAAAAATTCAAGCACACTCTAAAAATAAGTTGTAAGTCATTTTAGGTTTTATTTGTAGTTTATTATGGCTGTTTATCACAGTCTAATTATCTGCCCATATTTAGATAATAGTATAGTTCTCAGAAATGCAGAATCCCAATTGGGGCAGAAACAGTTAACCTCTCTTTAAAAAAGAAATGCTTCATCCTATAATGAAAACATGCCAAAATGATAAAAATATGCAGAATACAATGAATAAAAAATAAAGACTTTGGAATTTCCTAATAGTGACCAGGAGAGGAGTTGTTCTTCAACATCTCTATTAGCTCCACACCCCTCCCCCCAGGCTTAGCATAATACACACACACACACACACACACACACACACAGAGTCTTTTCACCCTCCACACTTGCCTGTCCGCTTCAAACCCAATACTTCCCACCACACCAAACTTTTCTACGATCTTCTTATGCGTTGCCAAAGAAGGAATTGGTAAAGCCCACGTAGTCATAGCCGGCAGGATGACCTCGACCTCGTGGGTCCATGTATTGCTGCATATGGATGGTACAGAATGACACCTGTTCCGGGGTTAGGGCCTGCAAAGAAAAGAAAAAAGATAAAGATATAGTCACTGAGATTCAACTAGATGCATCCCCTTGGTTTCTAATGTGCTGGAAATGTGATAGGTGGAGAACCTTTGAAAGAAGAAAAAAGCCCTGTTTCTGTTATACCCTTAAAAATGTATGATTTTCAGTGAATAAGACCAATATAGAGCTCATCCACTCTATTTCTACTTCTCACTTCTTAGATTTATCTCATTAAATGAAAGTGGCAAGAAGCAGCCTTAAAACTGAGTTGCAAGTTTTGAATGAACTCTGACAGTCAGAGAACCACTCTGTTTTTCAGCTAGATGAAAACAGAATGAAGTGGCCCAGACAAGTGGCATTCTGTGAAAGAGGAGATCTGAGGAGAACAAGTGGCCAGATTGCCAGAGGCCTTCAAAGCAGGCAACCAGTAACAAGATGGCCCAAATCTAGATTATGATGAATGCATAGTAGTAGCAGAAGCCATGGGAATCTGACCTGCTTCAAGTCCTCTTTGGTGATATAGGCCTTGCCCTCTGCCAAGGCTTGGAAAGCACTCTCTATGTCATCGCTGGTCTTGATATTCTCCGATTCCTTGTCAATCAGGAATGATGTATAGTCTTCCAGGGAGATATAGCCCTTCCTGTGAGGAGAGTAAGAAGAAGATGAAGGGGGAGGGGAAAGGGAGCGAGAGAGGAGAGAGGAGAGAGAAAAGAGTGAGGAGAGAGGACAGTAGAGAGAAGAGAGAAAGGAGAGAGAGAAAGAGAAGGAAGAGAAAGAGTAGAGAGAGAGAGGAAAGAGGAGAGAGGTAGAAGGAGAAAAGAGGAGAGAGAGAAGAGAGATGGAGAGAAGAGAGGGGGAGAGATAGAGGGAGGAGAGAGAGGAAAGGCAAGGAGTTAGAGGAGAGAGAGAGGAGAGAGAAGGAAAGAGACAGACACAGAGACACAGAGAGAGAGAGAGAGAGAGACAGACAGACAGAGAGATGTAGCTTCCAAAGACAGAAGCAGAGCCCTGTCCTAAACAGGGTTGCAGAGGCAGAAGGAAGTCTGAACCTCCACGGTCCTCCTTCAAATAAGATGTCTGGTAGTGTGGCTATTCTGAACCCCCTCCTCACTCCCTTAGACAAATAAACACTGTTTCTTAAACTCCGGACTGTTTCTATAGAAACAGTTCCAGAATGTTCTACCATCACCAGCCCCAGGTACTTAAATCATTTCTGGTTTTCTTCTATATTTAATGATCAGAAAGAATTAATCTGTCATAATGGCTTGATTTATGTATAACTCTGCTGCTCCCCTACAAGTCCACACAATTCCACCCTCCATGCCTTTGAGTCATGCATATTTCCCTCCAAATCTCCCATACATGAAAGGACTCTTAAGTCCTGTGCTTACAGCCAGCTAAAACTCATAGATCAACCATTTGTCATGAATTGGGCAAGTTGCAGAGCTAGAATTTCAGTAACAGTTAGTGTTACTTCTGAGCTAGCTTTGAAAGAACACCAAGAGATGCCCAATTCTTTTCCAAATTCTTTTCCAAAGGAATGAATTGCATGCATGATCAACAGTTTACTTGCTGATAGATTCCTTCCAAGCCCCGATGACTGTTCTGTTGACCTGTGGTCCTCCGTTTACCTGCTTGGATCCACAGCATCCAGGAACTTTTGAAACTTGGGCTCGGGTTCATCCTCCTCCACCATGGGCAAATAATAGTTGAGTCCTCTCAGGCAGGATCGGAAATCTTTGTGACTCAAGCGCCCTGTCAAATTCTCATCAAAGTGTCTAAAGGGTGAAAACATTTTATGAAGCTCAAAAGAACATCAAGTTACAGAAGGAAAGAATAGACCTTATTGAATCAACTAGAGAGTTATTAACGTGTCATTGTTTTCAGAGAACTCAACCTGTCTGTTTGTATTGCTGTACATTTTTTTAAACATGATGAATAGGAAGAAAATCATAAAGCACAGAGCATAAATGAGATGTGTTTTCCAACTCCTGGAGTCTCACAGACATTATATTTAAATCAATGACTGAAAGCACTTACATATATCTAGATCTTCATTTTAAGATCCCATGCAACCACACAGAGAAAACTATTAGTCATTTGTAAACTTATGAAGATTGCGCAGGTAAACAAAGTGTCAGTCAACTCTGAAGTTATACTCACTTATAAGTGGTGCTAAACTCCTTTAGTGTCTCCTCACTCACACCTATGGTATCTCTGAAAGAAAAAAATCCCACAGAAATTAACCCATCAACTAAAACAGAAAAATAGCAAGAGACATGCCATACGAAAGAGAATTAGAATGGAAATATACTGTTAGATTCATCAATCTCAGAGGCAAGCAAAATATGTTCAGCCTGCCATCTGCTTCCATACAGCCCATGAGCCAAGAATGGTGGGTTTTTACATGATTGACTATCACTGAAAGAATATTTTATGAAACATGAATGTTTATTAAATTTAAATTTAATGTCCACAAATAAAGTTTTATTGGAACATAGCTATGCTCATTCATGTGTGAAATTATCTATGGCTGCTCTTCAGCTGTATTAGCAGAGATAAAAGGTTCCAGCAGAAAGATGCATGACTCCTGGGCCTGAGGAATGGCTCAACAGTCGAGTGCTTGCCTGACAAGCAAGAGGCCTGGAGTTCAAACCCAATATCATAAAAAGGAAGTTATACGACTCATAATGACTTAATTATTAATAGAGAAAAAGTTGTCCAATTCCTCACCTGGACAAATAAAACCCCATACTGCCAGAAAGCTATTGAGACATAAGGGTGCCTTGATATAATTAACTGACCTAGGAAAATTAATTTTTCTGACATGTTAGTCTGTACTTTGAATATTCCTTCTATTTTTGATATTATATTCTTGAATGGAATTTTATAAAATGGAATCCTTTGTGAATATCAGATGAAGGGACTCTAAGAACTGGATATTATTTGGGCGTATAATGAATGTTCTCTTGGGGAGAGGAATGTCTCTTATTCCCTGATAGATTTCACTATTTGAAAAAAAAAGTCCATCTGTGAGTCCATGAAAATAAAAACACTGGCTTTTCCAGTGTGTGTACTATATCTGAAGCAGTTTTTTTTTTTAAAAAACAGATCTTAAAACTGTAGCCATTGTTATGCTCTTAATACCCAATACCATCTTCACCCCTCCCTGTCCTGGCTATAGACCCTCCATACTTGGCCTGGATTTGTTGTTCCAGATTGTGTTGCATTCGCATCCCCAGCTGGTGGAGCTGGTCCCACTGCTGGGCCAGTCCAATGGTGCTGTATTTGATGTCAAGAATCAGAGCCTCCTCCATGTTGTCCCCTAGGTCCTCAATCTTGGTCAGATGGCGCTTCATCGCTTGGATCTCTTTCTGCTTCCTCTGGAGGGAAAACAGAGAAGAGAGATAGATAGTCTCATCAGCTACAAACCCAGAGATGAGAGGGAAGATGCGGATTAGCTCGAGTTTCTCTTAAATTGCTCCTTTTTGATTATTTTTAGGATGCTTTTTTTTGGGGGGGTCCGGTCGTGGGGCCTGAACTCTGGGCCTGGGCGCTGTCCCTCAGCTCTTCAGCTCAAAGCTAGCACTCTACCACTTGAGCCTCAGTCCCACTTCTGGCTTTTTCTGCTTACGTGGTGCTGAGGAATCGAACCCAGGGCCTCATGCATGCAAGGCAAGCACTCTACCACTGAGCCACCTTCCCAGCCCCAGGATGTTTTTTTTTTTTGCCCTCTATGAAGAATTAGCAACTTGGGAAAGCTGGTTCACTTCTGCAATCATTTCTAAGATAGTGAGAAGTTTAGGTGTGATGAATTCTGTCATTCTGATACTCTTCACATGTATAGCTAAGTGTGAACAATTGCCTACTGCAGACAAAGAAGAGTAGAATTTCTGCGACCAAGGCATCATCAGCATCCAGTGATCACATTGTAAATTATCTATGCTATTGGCTGAGACTGAGCTCTTAGGTTCATATCAGCTCTACATTGTCCAGTACTGGACCTCCTTCATCAGTGTGGACAGATGTGTGTGGGCACCTTATGTGCCAAATTTCTACATCTTTCCTAGGCTTTCTAATGAAGTAATATTGTTCCCTAAGAAGAATAGGAGCAAAGTGATTCTGATGATGAAGGAATGTATGAGAAAAAACATATAAGACTTGTGTTCTCAAATTCTATCAGTCATCTAACCTCTTCTCCTGTCAGGAGAAAATTAAATTTAACTAAACTTTTTTGTTTTCTGAGAAGAGGCAATGAAATAAAATTGAAAAACATTATCTTGTTCAATTGTCAGGAGATAAGATAATCTAGGTTGGATAACATCACTTGATCACATTAATTGCTGCAGATATTTTCTGGTGTTCAGGATGTAGGCTGGGGAATTTTATATCTGTTCTGTTCATCATTATAACAACTTGGAATGTAGATATTAACTATGTTGTGTAGTTTGATACATTGATACATTGATAGGCTGAGGGCTATACCCACAAAGTAGTAGCTTATAGTTATGGATACAAATTGAGAGTGTAGTCGGACGGCAGCCTTCATTTCATGATTTTAGATGATATTTGCCTAGAAATGTAAGCAGAGTTTTTCTCTTAAGTGGTTTTCCTTTCACTCTTAATAATTCTAGCAATAGCTTCAGCTACTGAACAAATGTTACTTACTTTATTTGCTTCCAGTTGGGATTCTAGAGTTCCTGTTTCTTTGAGCAAAGATCTAGTTAAAGATCAAGAGGAAACATTATTCATACAGTCAGAGGTCAATATTTCATGCAAACATACCAACTCAAATCACCTATTCTGCTTCTACTTCTCCCAAGTGACTTGGCTTGTTTTGAAAAGATGCATAAAGCCAAATCTTTGTAATCAAATCCTTCCGTCTCTGGCAATCTTTCCAGATTAATGAGAAAGGAAGTAATGCCTATCCCAATTTTTCTCTGCCTAGAAGAGGGCTTTCACTTTGTCTCTCTTAGGTCTGTTCTCATACATAGTTATTCTTAGATACCCTTGGGAAACTAGTTTGAGGATCCATGTGCTACCAAAATGGTGGGCCCTCAAGTATCATAAAGTGGCACAGGATTTGCATATAACCCACATATTTTCCCATACACCTTAACTAATCTCTAGGTTATTGATAATGCCAAATACAATATAAACATCCTGCAAAGTAATTGTTAGCTCATAATGTTTAGGGAATGTCTGTATGTGTTCCTCACAGACACATTTTGCTTTCTGAATATTTTCTTTTCCCTTTTTGGGATCTTTATTCTACAGGAGATGTGAATCATGAGGGCAGAGGTCAGAAAATCAGCTGCAATGAATGCTGTCAGTCTATGCTAATCCACAGATGCAGGCAACCTAGACACAGAGGGTTGACTCTGCAATGAAACAATGAAGGCAGGGTGCCACCTGCTGGAGGATAAGTAGAATGACCTATTTCTCACCATACATTTTAGCTTAGGTACTATCAGATCACAATGGGATAATGATGCATCATTACTGAGGCCTCTTTATCTAATGCTTGCATAATAACATGAGAAAGAAAACATGATAAGGTAAAATACTGACCCATCCAGAAAATAGGCCCTGGATATGGAGAGCATGGAGCAGGAATCAGAAGAAAGAAAAGAGAAACAATACATTAATATAGATCACTTTAATAATCTTATTTCTTCAGGTTTACAGAACATTCTAAGATTTTTGCAGTCAAAAAATATAAACCTGTCCACATGCATTTCCAGGGGGCCTCCCTTTAAGAAGCTCAGCATTCCACAAAGCTCTTTGCTTCAGCACAGAGAACACACATGCAGGGGATGTGCTTAGCACCGAGCATCCACTGCCAAGGTATGACAAAAGGTCAAAAGGCAGAGGCAAGGGGAGGCCTCAGTGCTTCATCTGGTCTTTATCAGATGTTTTCTAGACCTGACACAGGGTCTTACTTTGTTCACTGTTTCATTTATCCTTACCAATGAGAATGTAGGGATGGCCATACTTTACAAACACAATTCTGACCCACGTAATGGACACAGTCTACTAACTTTGAGCATTTATCCTAATAGATTCCACCCTTTGTATCTATTCTGTTCCAGGTCATCACCCAGAAGGCAAGACAAAATTTATCTTCACATACAAATCATTTTACATTGATTAATATAATTAGCCTAGATTATCCCGTTTGATTCTCATGACAGCTTGGGTGGTTGGGCAACATGACAGCTTCATATTTTTGCTTTGTATTGTATAAGTCGCATGGATAAATATGTATGTGCCCTTTAAACAAGTCAAGTAGTCTATTGAACTTCCTTTCACTCTTGGGAGCAGAGGTGCAGAGGTAACGACTGCTCTGGGTACTCTTCAAGGTAGCTCTGAAGGTTACGTAAATACAACAATGGATATGGAAGTAGTTTGAAAAAATACAATGGATTATATACACGTGATTTTTATTGTTCTGATGTGCAATTATTTCCTTCAGTTGAAGGAAAATCAGGGGGATGAAGAGAGGGCCCTCGATGGACAGCAATTCCCTCTCATGATTTTTGCCAGGACTGATCCAGAAACAAATTCTAATGGACCATAAAGAACAGCCAAAATGTCATGAGTTGGACATAGACTACATCATATAAAAACCCCTTCATTTCCTTAAGACACATGCCGTATGCCGGGTGCTGGTGGCTCACGCCTGTAATCCTAGCTACTCAGGAGGCTGAGATCTGAGGTTTGCGGTTCAAAGCCAGCCCGGACAGGAAAATCCGTGAGACTCTTATCTC